GTCGAAACGTTGTACATTTGCTGTTATGTTAAACTTATATTAAAGTTTTTCTTCATTACCCATTCAAGCCGTCTCCAGCCATTATTAAGGTTAGTAACATCACATAGAGTTATAGTTCTCAGTTTTTACAAGATATGTTAGGAGTCAAATGAAATGAAAACAAAATGTTGTAAACTTCAGGATTTTCTCTGATAATTATACCAAATTTGAACATATGGTGTCCACTGGCTTTGTAAATTTATTACACAGGACTTACATATATATGTGTAGAACAGTTACCTTAAAAGTAAATGACATTTTTTGATTTAAAAGTTTTGTACATTTTTCACAAGCGTGTCTCAGTGGTTAGCGTGCCGGGCTGTGAATGGAAAATTCAAGGTTCGAGTCCGTTACATGCTGATCAACATGTTCGATACTTAAACCTGTGGATGCGTTATACAAATGATAGTCAATTCTGCCATTTGATTAATAATAGCCATAAGGACGGCGAGTACTGCTAACCGTTTATCCTTCTTATGGTCAGTAGTTCTAAATTGAGGACAATTGTGCCTGACCCTTGGGATCCTTTACCAGGTCATTTAGCTCATGTGTCGCATATGGTGGTGTTTAGATTGATAAAACGAAGTATTCTTTATAAACTTATATCCTCTTTTCTTTCGTTCACTGTAAAGATAATGCTTTATAGCCAATAGCAACTACTGGACGGTCATAGCAGGTGCGTTATAAGCATACAGATCAAATTTTAGGCCTTTTTGTTGGACTGTATAGCTAATGTAAAATTTGACTGCTACATACAAAAGAAAGAACTTGCAAGCTGTAAACGTCTCTTCCACACGCTCCACTGTATTACAACCTATCTACTTGTTTCAGATTGTAGTCATGTAAGTGACGATGGCTATTTGTTAATTCTTTATCGGTTAAACAGAACAATATTATAATCAGTCATTTGTACATATAAAGTAAAATATATATAATATATTCAGTATTTTTCATCTGTTAAAAAGTAAAATCGAATGCGAAATGAAACAGTATAATAATGTAAAACACGAGTCTTTCTCTGACGAGATAAGTAATTATTACTTGAATATCCGAGAGTACTATGAAACATCAACATAGTGTTCTTTTTTTATCTTAAATATTTTACACTGCGTAAACTCTGTTTCAGCTGCCACACTTTTATATTTCAGACTTATCTTCAAGCTTTTACTATGATACGTCTATCTTCGAGCAATTTCCACCAGCCGATGGTGGTCATGACAGTTGGAGAGGTGTTGTGTGTGGAATTTGTCAACGGACTTTTTCTACCAAGTTCAATTTACGACGTCATATGGTGGTCCATGGTCAGAACCAACGTGTGTTTCAGTCACGCAGAGGCCGAGCTCCACGACCTCATTCGATGATGGCAGATGTGTGCCCTGTTTGCAACCGGGGTTTCAGCAAAAAAGGTAACCTAGAGAGACACATGCTACTCCATAGATCCCAAAGGACTGTGCATCAGTGTCCCCTGTGTCCTAGTAAGCATTCTTGGCCAGGGAATCTCCAGACACATATGAGAGTGGCTCATGGTGTTCGTCCTCAGAGAAAGATTAGGTAAACATCCAGAGTGTAAACACTGTTGCCTCTACAACACTTACCTCAGACATTTTTGCGCGAGTCAACTAATAACACTTACAGTGATTCACATTTTGCGAATTGCCTCTCTTTCCAATAACAAAATGCATTTTAAAGTTAAACCTGTTACAAAATTATTGGTTTTACGATTTATTTCGGTCTCTTATTTTAAATGACGTGGAGTGACCTTTGAAAATTCAAAACATAAAATGAGTACGAAAGTTCATATACGTGAAGAAAAATTACATATTAGTACTGAGCAGAAGGTATTTCTCGTGTCGTGTATTTATTATGTAGAATTGCTCACAGATTTAACGGAAAGAAATCTCTATCCGTATGTGGAACAATAGTGATGTTTGGTTCTACTTGTTGTTGTTGTTTTTATATCGACGTAAGGGTCAAGTTCTGGTTTTATGGTGGAAGTATGTGAGTGCCCAGTTGTAAAACAGTACAAGGAGAGATAATTCAACTCAGCTGTGAAACTTCTAATAAAATCGAGAGTTTCACAAAGAAAAATGAAAGCATATTCAAGTGATACCATGTATTATTTGTTTTAGAAATTATATAATTAAATTGATGATGTTTTAAGGGTGAATTTATAGTTTATGTAGTTGACCTTTTAAGTAAAAAATATTGTTCATCTCTGTATGTGTCTTTTCTGTATTAATTGTTATGGAAAGAATCGTAAAATGTAGAAAAAATTTTTGTTTAATTATTCTTAATATAAAGTGTTCAGATTATTTATGCAATCATATATTTGTAGATGTTGATTCATTCGTCGTATGATATAATTTGGTTATTTTATATGAAATTTTAAAATATTCTTCAAAAATCAATACAGTGTATTATTCTTAAGAAAGAACCTTGAGCTGTTGAAAAAGTGGCTTTAATCATGGGAAAAATTACATAATCTTTAGGTTGCATTGTAGAAAGTAAAACGTTGTCATGCATATCACATCTCTCTACTTTTTCTAACAATATACACCATGAAATAGAGCGAGTACAGAATTTAATATTTGCATACAGCTTTTTATAACTTCAATTCGGCACGTTTGTTTTTGGAGCGCATAACTTGGTTTAGCAAAGGTTAACTCAAAATAACCTATACTTATTAACAACAGAGATAATTACTGGTTATGGATGAAACAAGTGGAAAACTTTTAGACTTTTGAATCTTAGATATGTAAGGTTTTGTGTATAAATGCTTTAAAAGGTTGACGTGCTTAACAAATGAACTGAATAATACCGAGTATTATTTTCAACTGTTTTGGTGGGGTTTTTAAGTCATTTTTAACTTAACATTTAATAACCTAAATTGATTTTGGTGTGAGAATAATAATAATATGACATCGAGATTACGCTATTATTCAATATTACACAGTGGACCAACTGTTTAGTGATTATATTACAGATTTCTTTTCACCAAAAGCGAAAGATTATATTTTCAATTTTACGTTCAGTGAAAATAAATCTGTAATATAATTTTTAAGTATTTACATATAAAACTATCTTAAAAATACATCATAATATGCGTTTGGTTTGTTTCTGACATGCGTTAATAATATGTCTCTTATGGAAGGCTTTGTATGTTTTAGAGCAAAGCCGTACTGGACTGTTTGCTGTCTACCGCGCTGAATCGACCCTGGATTTTAGCGTTGTAAGTCCGTAAACTTACCGCTGCCCCACCGGAGGACTATTTTCGTTTGTTTATTGTTAAACACAAAGCTACACAAAGGCCTATCCATGCACTGCCCACTGCGGATATCGAAAACCGATTTTTAGGTTCATAAGTCCTTAGGCTTACCGCTGAGCCATTGAGAAGCTGTTATAGGAGGGTCACGTACCTTTCCAACGAAATAAGTCGTAACAGAGGGAGTAAAATTTCCATTGTTCATTCCTTAGTGTTATTTATAGAAGCGTATGTAGGATATTTCTATAATTAATTTTATTTTTGGTTAAAAAACATTATTATGTAGTATTTTATTTGCTTCGATAAAGTAGCTTCACGTGACTAATCACATCCAGTCAAATACGTCAAACTGTTGAACCTACGTTCATCATTTACAATGTAAAATGTACAATTTAAAATATATCCCTAAACTTATTTTTCTTATTAGTATTAACTAATATGCAACACACCATCATCTCATTAGGTATTTTACTTTATTGGCGAAACTTCAGAATAATGTTTCAAGAAAAAAACAAAACACTTTTTATTCACAACAGTAACGGATACTTTATTAAAACCAATTCGCAGCTTTGTGCTCGTGGAGAGCAATGTGGTTGGTTGTTGTTAACCAAGAACACGAATGTTGTTCTAATGAAATATTCCTAATTACAATTAAATATGCCTGATAGTTGCTTTGTGTAAAAACGACAACAAATAAAAGTTAGAATACTATCGACGCTTTAGTTCGCCCAGGTGTACAAAAAACAGCGATCTTAGTACTCGGCATGATGAGAAGCAGTCACATATCGTTGGGTATATAAATTATAAGTTCAGTTTCTTTTGAAAAAAGGTGTTAAAAAAGTTCAGATTTACACCTCTTACTTGCACTAAGTTGTATGTTTTTGTTTAAAATGTACCTTTTTATATAAAACAAATGTAGTACAGTTGGTAAATACTTCCCATATTTTCTGTTATTTAGTCCTTTTGGTATTTCAGTTTTATCAGGCGTATATGAAATGCTAATACATTAGACATCACTCTCAATAACAAGCAACGTCAAAAGGCTCAAAATAAAATTTACATATTTATCCAATTTACTATGAAATAGTCAACGTTTTAACAGAAATTATACAATGAAATACAACATTCAATGAAAATTCACAATCTCTTTTAGCTATTAACGAACAGATCTAATAGATTATGATTTGAAAGTTTAAGATAATAAACATGTAAACTCGGTAGAAAAAAAAAAGATATGCCGTTTCACATACCATTTTAAACGTTGGCATTTTCAGACACAAAAGCTACCAGTCACATAAAGCTGTGAAAAAAAAAATGTTTTCGTATCGGCTGTCACACTGATATTCTTCATCATCTGACAACATGTAAAACCAATTTGTCTGATCTATGTCTACATCAGTGATTTGTCATAATCAGAATTGAGTTTTATCATGTTCATTAAATATTCCACTTAATGTTGGTGGTGCAACTTCACATGTGAACCATGTTTACTTGTATGTGCCATCGTTAAAGGTTAATTCATTGCCATATGGCTTCTGTTATGCCATTTCGGGTTTCTAAATTTCCCCATAACGTCGAAACGTTGTTAGCATTACAGATGTGTTGTTTCAGAGCGGGTGTAGGCATAGAAATAGCTTGCACCTGTCCATTTGATCTTTTCTGAAGGCGTGTTTTCGTAATTTAGCTGATACTTGTTAACATCTTATAGTGGGCTATGTCCATAACAAAGTAAACACAAAATTCTCAGCCGTTTCATCGGTTTCTTGGACAAATTCTGATGTCCCACTTCTCCAAATACTGCCGTATACTTTTATTATTTTCCAACACTGACAGAGGTCACACCTTTCCTTTGGAATATGGGCACTATTTGTGCCCTTCAGTGCCTGGAGGCTTGGTAGTGCTGCACATACACACATAGAAGTTTACCTAGTCTGCCTTCACCACTGTATGAAGGTATTCACTCTCCGTCTAACTAGAAGTGTACTTGTTAGGTTGCTTGGTTCGTGTGCTTGCTTCTGCCTGTATGCTCTGCATGGCCCTGCATTCCTGTGTCTGAACAAACGTCCACCTTATATGAGTAACAAATTTCTCTTGCTGTGTACATGACTTCTGAGTTTTGTATCCCACATAACTTCACAGTATATATCCCCCCCCCCTCATTCAGTAACCAAAAATTCGAGGAGAGCTGTCTTACAAGAAGATGACAGAAAGGGTTTGACTAAAGTCTCGTATACTTTGGTCTGATGGTCTTATAGAATGGTCCAAAACATATAAAAAAGCCTGTCATAATCAGGGGATTTTGTAGTCTGAACTTGTAGATCAGGTTTTGCAATTGTCAAGTCATGGGTAATTGACATGTAGTTCTCCTGAAATTCTTCAGCAACTTTGACAGCAGTGTTTATGGTGTCTGGCAATACATCTAGTCTTGTAGGAGGCTTTATTATGGAGTCCATGTATGATATGGTTGGTTTTGTTAAGTTGTATTCCAGTTCATGCCACATTGTTAGATGTTAATGTATACTTCCAGAAGATATCATCTAAGCCATGTATATTCTCTTAGTTTGAACGATGTTTTCTGATTCAGAGCTTTTCGTAACCTTGTAGTGGAATCTTGTTTGGTAATCATGCTATGTATGGTTGAATGTCTTTCTCACCAGTATCTAAAGCTCTTTTTATTCCTTGGGATATTTTGGTATGGACCTGGGTACAGTGTTTTGGATTTGTTATTACGATAGTTTCATATGGGTCTGGCTACAGTATCTTTTTCTTGGGGTAGTTTCGTGTAGACGTGGGTACAGTATCATTTTATTGGGATCGTTTCGTATGGAACTGGATACAGTATCTTTTATTGGTATGGTTTCATATGGATCTGGATACAATGTCTTTTTCTTGAGATAGTTTCGTATAGATCTGGGTAGAGTGTCTTTTTCTTGGCTTGCCATTGGTTGTACTTTCTGCTGCTTCACACTGGGCTTGCCTGCTCATGATCGTACACTTTATATGTGTCTGTTTCATTTGTGTTTCTTTCCTTGTTGCTAGCTCATAGTAGTTTGTCTGTTCCTATAATAGCTACTTTAGAGATACCTTCCCAACACTGAATTGTATGTTTTCGTATGCTATGCCTACTTTATCATGCAAAGTGTCATAACCCTCTAGTGTCTCTTTCATCTCATCATAGTCGTCAAAATATAGATCAGTGGCCTAATCTGGCGTCAAGAACAATCCATCTGGTGTAGTCATATCCTTTTCTGTCCTGTTGGTTACTAGTTCATTTGCTAGTTCTTCCAGAACATGATAGCTGACAAAGTACACAGTCATGTTAATTATAGTTACGTCCTTCTTATTGTCTGCCATAGATTTGATCTCTTTGTGCAACAAGGGGTGTTTCTGTGGGTAATCACTCCTCTGTAGACTACAAACATCACATCTTCTGACATATTTTGAACTGTCTTCTCTTTTCCTTCATTGCCAACTTCTGATGAACCAGTGAATGCAGTGCATAAGAAATTCTGAAGAAGTGGTGGTTCTCATTTTCTTAAGAGATGTTTTCAACTTAGAGTTTTGTTTTTACATGAAGATGAGCTGTGGAAGTTTTAACACCTGGTCTATGATATTTTTAACTGCTTGTGTTTCCCTCCTTTCCGTTTCTTGGCAGATCTGATAATAAAAACCTTTCCTACTTTTCATTTCAAAAATAGTGTCATCTTTGAAGTGATCTGCCAGTTTTGACTGCAAACTCCATGACTTGTAATTTGTTCGACACCCACTAAAACAAAATATCAATGTTTTCGACTGGAACGTCTTTCCTTTGCACCAACTTTATCTCAATGAATATCATCAAAGGAACAAGGTCTCTGTGTTCTGTGATAACTCTTGGGTCGATGTGTAGGATGCATTTCCTCTGTTGTAGTATTGATAGCTACATCTGCAACCAAGAAAAATATTCAAAATAGAAA